AATAGCACAGTTAACATTACGTTCTCCCAATTCTATCCCTCAGTACTGAGCCTCCACCCCTTCTACTCACAATGGATTCACTCGTCATGTGTCTCTATTTCACCAAACATAGTGGTATAGTGCAGCAGTGTCTGTCCTCAATATTGTCGTCGTCATTGTTAACTTCTCATATTGTTAATATATAGAACAATTTCACATCGTATAGCATCGAAATATTTTATTTTGACCACTCTGCATGTAGTATGTTGAATACAAAGTTTGCTTAGTCCATGTTCACAATGATATCCACTTTTGAATATTTTTTTACCTGATATTAGTGAACATTTTTTTTTTTTCATTTGTAGGATGGTATGGTAAGATCAGATACGGCTGTGGGAACACCAGATTACATATCTCCTGAAGTTTTAAAATCACAGGGTGGTGACGGATATTATGGGAGAGAATGTGATTGGTGGTCAGTGGGTGTATTTATCTATGAAATGTTAGTTGGTAAGTTCATAAGTTAGTGAATTATCAACTCAACTGAACATTTGTTTCAGCCAGCAACATTGTACTGCATATCCGATTTGTGAATGAATTTCACAGAGACAATTTTCACAACAATTATTTACATTTTTAATGGCTAGTACTTTAATCATGATCTACTCACAAAAAATTACAAGTGAGGTTCTAAACAGAGTATAGATTATTTTTTTAATTATTTTCCAACTTCCTGTTTAAAAAAAACTCGGTGAAATTGTTCATTTACAAAACTTCTAAATTTTCTTCAATTCATGACAATTTTTCACATAAAAATGGAAGTGTTTTCAGCTAAATACCTTTTGAAAATTTGGTGATACATTTTGTGCATCTCTTTTGCACATTTTTATCTATGTTAATTTTTTTACCAAATTGATCATTTCCTATCGGCTTACAGGTCGTATTCAGTTATGGTGTAAAATTATAGAAATAATGTGTGTGGGTTCATGGTGAAGGATGACATTCAAAGGCATTCAAAGAATTTACAATTCACATTTAACTTTCCCATTGTCAGCTGCTTAATTTCAGAGCAGTTACTAATGGCATTTGTCATTTCCCAATTTTTCTAACTGTCCATTTAATTATTAACCTTATTAACCAGATATGATCTATCAACATTGTTTTCAGGTGATACCCCATTCTATGCAGACTCATTGGTAGGTACTTATGGTAAAATTATGGATCATAAAAATTCTCTTAATTTTCCCGATGATGTAGACATATCACCTAGCGCTAAAGGACTTATAAGAGCGTTCCTCACTGACAGGTCAGTTTTCAACACA